TCGATTCCGGCCAAGGGCATGTACCTTGGTTGCGGGCACATCCCCAGTCGGGGGTGTGCAGGAGGCAGCTGATGGATGTTTCTCTCTGATGGATGTTTCTAACTCTCTATCCCTCTCCCTTCCTCTCTGTAAAAAACCAATAAAATATATTTTTTTAAAAAAAGAAGTACAAATTGATTGTTACAGAATAGTCATGAGCGTCAGCCTGCGGACTGAAAGGTCCCAGGTTCGATTCCGGTCAAGGGCATGTACCTGGGTTGCGGGCACATCCCCAGTAGGGGGTGTGCAGGAGGCAGCTGATCGATGTTTCTCTTTCATCGATGTTTCTGACTCTCTATCTCTCTCCCTTCCTCTCTGTAAAAAAATCAATAAAATATATTAAAAAAAAAAGAAGTACAAATTGATTGTTACAGAATAGTCATGAGGATGTAAAGTACAACATAGGAAATAATCTATATATATAAAAGCCTAAGCAACCGTTTGACTGGTAGCTATGACATGCACTGACCACCAGGGGGCAGATGCTCAACGCACGGGCTTGGAAACATGGAACAGACTGATGAATCTCAGAGGGAAGGGAGTGCAGGGAGGGCGGGAAGAGATTAACCAAAGAGCTCATATGCATACTAGAGGCCCAGTGCATGGACTCGTGCACTGGTGGGGTCCCTCAGCTGGCCTGTGGCGATCAAGCCGAAACCGACAGTCTGACATCCCCTGAGGAGTCCTGGATTGCGAGAGGGTGCAGGCCAGGCAAAGGAACCCCACCACTGCACGAATCCATGCACCAGGCCTCTAGCAGTCAATAATATTCTAATAACTATGTATGGTATCAGATGGGTGTGAGATTTATTGGGATGATCACTTAGTAATGTATGTAATGTTTAATCATTGGAGTGTACACCTGAAACTAATTTAATAATGTATATCAACTGTAATTGATAAATAAAAAATGAGCCCGACTGGCGTGGCTCAGTGGTTGAGTGTCAACCTGTGAACCAGGAGGTCACGTTTCGATTCTGATCAGGGCACATGCCCAGGTTATGAGCTCAATCCCCAGTGAGGGGTGTGCAGGAAGCAGCTGATCAATGATTCTCTATCATCATTGATGCTTCTATCTCTCTCTCCCTCTCCCTTTCTCTCTGAAATCAATAAAAATATATTTTTTTAAAAAGAAAAAAAGGGGAAATATATCTGGAAATTACAACAGAACTATTCATATAATTAGAGAAGGATACAGAATTACTTGGGTGGTTACCATCCTTTCAAACAAGGCAAATACTTGATTTAGAAATAAGCAATAGGCAGTAAAATTTCAGACATTTCTTGTAGCAATATTTTTGCTGATGTATCTCCTTGATCAAGGAAAAAAAGGAGAAAATAAACAAATGGGATTACATCAAACTAAAAAGCTTTTGTATAGCCAAAAAAAAAAAAAATCAACAAAATGAAAAGGCAAACTATGGAATGGGGGAACATTTTTGCTAATGACATATCTGATAAGGGGTTAATTTCTAAAACATAAAAATAACAGATACCAAAAAAAAGAAGAACTTATAAACTCAACACAAAGAAAATGCAATTTAAAAATGGGCAAAGAACCTGAATAGACACTTCTCCAAAGAGGACATACTAGTAGAGATGGCCATTAGACATATGAAAAAATGCTCAGTGTCACTAATCATCAGAGAAATGCAAATTAAAATCGCAATGAGATATTATCTCATGCCAATCAGAATGTCTATTATCAATAAATAAACAAACAGCAAGTGCTGGAGAGGATGTGGAGAAAAGGGAACCCTAGTACACTGCAGGTGGGAATGCAGACAGGTGCAGCTTGTGTGGAAACCAGTATGGAGTTTCCTCAAAAAATTAAAAATGGAACTGCTTTTTGACCCAGCAATCCCATTTCTGGGAATATCCCCAAACCAACAAAAACACTCAATTGAAAGAATATATGTTCATTGAAGCATTATTTCCTAGAGGCCCAGTGCACAAAAATTTGTGCCCTGGGGGGGGGGGGGGCGGTCCCTCAGCCCGGTCTGTGCCCTCTCTCAGTCTGGGATCCCTCGGGGATGACCACCTGCTGGCTTAGGCCCGCTCCCCGGGGGGTTGGGCCTAAGCTGGCAATCAGACATCCCTCTGGCAGCCTGGGAGCCCTCAGTGGATGTCCACTTGCCAGCGGGGAGCAGGCCTAAGCTGCAGTCTGACATCCTCAGTGCTGCCGAGGAGGCGGGAGAGGCTCCCACCACCACCGCTGTACTGGCAGCCGTCAGCCTGGCTTGTGGCTGAGCAGAGCTCCCCCTGTGGGAGCGCATTGACCACCAGGGGGCAGCTCCTGCATTGAGTGTCTGCCCCCTGGTGGTCAGTGTGTGTCATAGTGACCAGTCATTCCCAATCTTTCTGCTGTTAGGGTCAATTTGCATATTACCCTTTTATTATATAGGATAGAGGCCTGGTGCACAGGTGGGGGCTGGCTGGTTTGCCCTGAAGGGTGTCCCGGATCAGGGTGGGGATCCCGCTGGGTGCCTGGCCAGCCTGGGTGAGGGGCTGATGGGTGTTTGCAGGCTGGTCACACCCCCTTCAGGGTGGGGGTCCCTACTGGGGTGCCTGGCCAGCCTGGGTGAGGGGCTAATGGCTGTTTGCAGGCTGGTCAAGCCCCCCCCAGTGGGGACCCTCACCCCATGGAGGTTTGGCCAGCCTGGGTGAGGGGCTGATGGCTGTTTTCAGGCAGGCCACACCCCCTTTAGGGTGGGGCGTCCCCACTGGGGTGCCTGGCCAGTCTGGGTGAGGGGCTGAGGGCTGTTTTCAGGCTGGCCAAGCCCCCTGGCGACAGAAGCTCCCAGCCTCTCCTTTTTTTCTTTTTTATTCTGGGATTTATTTACCTCCTATAATTGAAACTTTGTTACCTTCAGTGGAGCTCAGAGCCGGCTGCGGCAGGCGGGAAGCTTGGCTCCCTCCATCACTGGAGCAACCAAGCCTCCTGCTCGCTCCAGCTCCGTGGCCACGGCCAGCTGAAAGCAGGTATCTGGGGTTTATTTATCTTCTATAATTGAAACTTTGTTGCCTTCAGTGGAGCTCAGAGCCGGCCACGGCAGGCGGGAAGCTTGGCTTCCTCCATCAGTGGGGCAACCAAGCCTCCTGCTCGCTCCAGCTCCGTGGCTGCCGGCCGCCATCTTGGTTGGGTTAATTTGCATATAGTCTCTCTGATTGGCTGGTGGGTGTGGGTTAAGGCATAGCGAAGGTACAGTCAATTTGCATGTTTGTCTTTTATTAGATAGCTAAGATCTGGAAACAGCCCAAGTGTCCATCAATAGATGAGTAAATAAAAAAGCTGTGGTATATTTATACAATGGAATACTACTCAGGCTTATAAAAGAAGGAAATTTTGCCTTTTGTGACACCAGGGATGGACCTGGAGATTTTTATGCTAAGTGAAATAAGCCAGTCAGAGAAAGACAAATAACATATGATCTCACTTATATGTGGACTCTAATGAACAAAATAAACTGGGTCCTTCACAAAATAGAAACAGAGGCATGGATACATCGAACAGGCTGACAACTGTCAGAAGGAAAGAGGATTGGGGGGCTGGATGAAAAAAGGTGAAGGGATTAAGCAAATATCCTATATAATAAAAGCCTAATATGCTAAGTGTCTGGTCATCTGGTCATCTGTTCAACCAATCAAAGCGTAATATGCTAATGATATGCTAAGGCCTGCGGGATCGGGCTGAAAATGGCTCTCTGACATCCCCCGAGGGGCACTGGATTTGCCAGAGGGCTCAACCGCTGGCTATGATGTACACTGACCACCAGGGGGCAGACAGTCGACCAGTCGCTATGATGTGCACTGACCATCAGGGAGCAGACGCTCCAACCGGTAGGTTAGCTTGCTGCTGGGGTCCAGCGGATCGGGACTGAGACAGGCAGGACACGCCCTGGAACCCTCCTGTGGTCCCTCCCCGGCTGGCCAACCTCCTGTGTCCCTCCCTGGCCCTGATTGTGCACCAGTGGGGGTCCCTCGGCCTGGCCTGCACCCTCTCACATATCCAATGCCCCTTGGGGGATGTTGGAAAGCCAGTTTCAGCTCAATCCCACAGGCCAGGCTGTGGGACCCTACTGGTGCATGAAGTCGTGCACTGGGCCTCTAGTATGTATGTATGTATGTATATATATACATACACACACACACAGAGACAAGAGTGTGCTGATAGAGGGGAAAGGGGGGAGGGGGTAAGTGGAGGTGGGCAAAGGGGGATAAATGGGGATGGAAAGAGACTTTACTTTGAGTGATAGGTGCACGATGCAGTGTGCAGATAATGTTTTGTTGAGTTGTATACTTGAAACCTGTATGGTTTTGTGAACCAATGTCACCTCAATAAATTCAATTTAAAAAAAAACAAATATTCTCTGAAGATTTGTATGGCCACCTGCTCATCATTAGGGACTAAGAACCTGTTACCCAGGAAGAAGCCCCATGGAGCCGTGGCCTCAGAAATGTACCCCTCAGAGCACTGAGGTTTGGCTTGTCAGAGGGCACATGTTAAAAACAGAAGGCTGACAAAAGTTACCGGCTCATCTGCATTGGCATGCTTTTGTTTTTACCTCCCCACTGCCTGGGAGCATCTCTCAAGGAGGAATCAGGTCAATTGCACCACACATACAGCTGTTCTGATGAGAAAAGTTTTATATGGACACCACCATCTGAACAAGAGCACCATAAATAAGGAGGGAAGCACAGGCTCATCCAAAAAAGCTGCTACAAGTAGCAAGCAGGGAACCATTCAAGCAGTGGTATCAAATACCAAAACCATATTTGCAAGTCTAATTTGGAACTTAGCCCTTTATAAGTGCAGGAGGAAGTTAGGGGAGAAACCACTCGTGAAATTTAAACACACACACACACACACACACACACACACACACAGAAAAACACCCACCTTTTCACATTTCTTTTGTCCATTTCCCCCACAAGGAACAAATCAAAGGAAAAGCACAGGCTCTTTTGCTAAAGTCCTCATATTTATTATGGACTTAGAGAAGCCCCAAATGGGGCTTGGATTTAAGGAGGCAGACTTCACATTCCTTGGCCCCACTCACCCCTGTCAAGTTACCCAGGGAATGCTTGGGACACAGGTAGGAAAATCCAGAAGAGGCAAGGATAAATATGGCTCACTTAACTTAAACATAATACACAAGGGCATCAGCTGCTCCACATACATTTACATCTGGGTCCTTCACTAGATTCTCAGTAGACTTCTCACCTGCACCACCAGAGCTCAAGCAAGCTGTGAGACATACAGGAAACCGGTATTTTGATCTAGCGTGCGCTGGGTCAGTCACTTCATCCAAGACAGACACACATTCCAGCCCCAAGCAAGTCCTCGGGTACCCACAGCTGTTTGCTTTGTGGAGTGGAAGGTTGGGCTTTGCCCCTCCAGAGTTTTCTCCTTGCTGATACTGCCATTGAGCTCCCCACTGTTCGCTCTGGACTCAAGACAGCTGCTCCACGCAAGTGTGTGTGTGTGTGTGTGTGTGTGTGTGTGTGTGTGTGTGTACCTGTCTATCTGTGTCTGTCTGTCTGTCTACTTGTAATTTATTGTTCCGCTGCCGCTGGCTCGTCCCCAGCCACTGGCTTCTCCACCTGTGACTCTGGAGGAATCAGATACTGGACCTCCTCTGTACTGATGGCCACCTTATCTGGCTGGAGCCACCTCTTGAAATGTTCCAAGGTGCTAGAAAAGAGCAAGAGAAAAGGGTGACTGCATTAGACCTGGATGGTTAATTACTTAATGATTATCTCAGTTACTCAAGCACTGCCTTCCCACCCACAACCAATTTCTTCCTACAATTGTTTTTCACTGCTAACGTGGGGAGAAGACGATACTCCTCTGACAGCTGTGCATCCTGGCAGCTCCCAGGCATAATTTACCCCCTGGTGGGCCCTTTGGCTGTAAGCAGCATCGGAACCCCTTGGAATGCAGAGCCTCTGAGGCTTGATGAGAACAGCTGGAGAGCTAATGCCTCAGTCCTGTCTTTTTGTTTCCCCTCAAAAGAGAGAAACTGTCAAGGGGAGAAAACACTCAAATAAATACCAAATTATTAGTGAGGCAAAAACCTGAGTGTCTTGGAATGTCAGACCTGAGATAGTCTGAGACTCAATGATGCTTAGTTGCACTGAGAGCAATTTTGCTTGTTTGTGGGCTTTTTGTTTGTTTAGTTCCCCCTACAACAAGTCCCCAGGATGGAAACACTTGAACAGCAATGTCCCCATAAAGGAATGGCCACCAAGCCAGAAGGCCCTTTTTGGTTTGGATCTGTGGGGAAGGGAGGAGTGGTCTCCCCGCCACCTTCCTCAAGTACACAGGATTCTCACTCTACAGCCATCAGACATTCACAGTAAAATATAAATGACCAGAAATAATGTTAACCACATTCTATGCTCTTCAACAGCACAAAGTCTTAAGCCAAGAAATAAAGCCATAACCAGCAGATTTAAGACATCTGTCAGGGGTGGGGATTCGTGTTGTGCACAGTTGGATTGCTCAGCCATGACTCCCTTGCCAAAAGCATGAAGAGGGTGGCCTTCCTGGCCATCATGTAGGTGAAGAACCACACAATCCCCTACAAAATGGCCTCTGTTTAAAACATAAACTTTGAAGTTTGAAAACAAATGCATATATACTGTGCTCTGAACAATGATAGAAGCTTTCCCACCGATGTAGGCTTGGGGGAACAACAGCCCAGCTCAGGGGACTCAGATGCTGCACAGGCATTTAATCTTCACCTACCACACTTTTCATAGAATTATTTCAATTATTTCTTTTTTAAAATATATTTTTATTGATTTCAGAGAGGAAGGGAGAGGAAGAGAGAGCTAGAAACATCAATAATGCGAGAATCATTGATTGGTCACCTCCTCACGCCCCCCTATTGGGGATTAAGCCCGCAAACCAGGCATGTGCCTTGACCAGGAATCAAACCATGACCTCCTGGTTAACCCTCAACCACTGAGCCATGCCAGCCGGGCTCAATTATTTCTATAGAGAAGGGAAAACCACATTATTTTAGCTATTGATAAATACACAGAAATGTTAACGAGCCTTGGTGCTGATCTGATTTCAAAGAAAAAGAATTCTTAGTTGAGAATTAGGCAGGAGAAAGTTTTTTTCTTCTTAGAGCTGGAAAGGAAGGAAATATTCAAGGGGAGAGAAAACACCAAATTACTAGTGAGTCAGGAATCTGTGTATTTTCAAGTCTTTTGTATTTGGGGCAGTTTAAAGCTCAATTGGATTGAGCCTTTAGATACAGAAAAGAGCAAAACTTGTATTATTTTTCTGAACCTGAGAAGGTAGCTGGCCTGACCTTAGATGCCACACCGATTTCTGAAGGATCTCGGGGAATGCTGATTTGGTATTTAAGATAATGTAAGTGAAGCTACTTTGCAAATTAAAAATAAAACATATTAAGTTTTTATCATATATTGCCCACAATTTCAGCAGCAATATGTGCTCTCACATCCATCGATGCTTCTCTCTCCCTCTCTTTTCCTCTTTCTCTAAAAATCAATAAACTAGTCTTTAAAAATAAATAAATAAAAAAGATTCTGTTAGGAAGAATAATATTAATAATAGCTAACACTTACATAGCACTTACCATGTATCAGGCACTGTTCTAAGAACTTTACACACAGTAACTCATTAAACCTTCACCATAACCTTATGAGGTTTCCTGTGCTTCACAGAGGAGGAAACTGAGGCACACACAGTTTACTCACCCAAGAACATACCACCACTAAGTGGCAGAGCCATTTTCCCGGTGTCACGCATTCCCTGCCTTGTGGCAGAATGCTCTCTCTCCTTTCTGCATCGGGCCCACCTGCAGGTACTGTTCAAGTCCTACCTCCTCCCTTGGCACAAACACCAGAGCCCAAAGGGAGCTCAATGGTCTCTCAACTCCTACAGCATGTCCTGTCGCTTCTTCTCACCTGCCTCTTCTCTCATGCTGCCTCATATTATTTATACCTATGTGTCATCTCTCCCCAACTAGTTACAAGGACAAAAAAAGAGGATGTTAAACTTCCTTACATCTCCCCTCCACCAGGACACCAGGCACAGTGCCTTCACTCAGTAGATGCTTAAGAAAATCATTCATTTAGTCTACACACATTTGAGAGGCTACAAAATGACAGAAACTCTGTAAGACAACAGAGATTCGGAGGTAAGAAGACATAGTTCCAGGTGTTGACTGATTACTACTTTCTCAAGTGCTTTATGTACTTGCACTTAAAAATCAGACAATGGCCCCGGCCAGGTGGCTCAGTTGGTTGGAGCATCATCCTCTACACCAAAATGGTTGCGGGTTTGATTCCAGATCAGGGCACATACCTAGGGTGCGGGTTTAATTCCTAGTTGGGGCATGTATGGGAGGCAACTGATTGAGTGTTTCTCTCTCTCTCTTCCTTCCTCTCTCTCTGAGAATCAATAAAAAATATATCCTAGGGTGAGGATAAAAAAATTTTTTTTAAAAAAGGCGGCAATGGTTTATCCTCAACTACATCCAATCTGTGATCAAGATGTGGCTGGAGTATTTGCCTTTTAGCAAAAATACCCTTTCTCAAAAATCTGCTGCTGTACTAAGAGCAAATAGAGCAAATTGACAAAGGATGATTTTAACTCAGAAATGCTGATGTTGATACCAACTAATATCTCAACTCAGATGTCACTCTCCCTGAATTCTTTAGAGAAAAAGAAATGCCCACAGTAAACAGACTGTCGCCTAGAACTGGCCTGGGAATCAATTACCTCTCATCAGAATCAAGTCCATCCACAAAGAACTCTGATGCTAACTTTTCCTGGAGGAACCGGTCCCAGCATTCCTTCTTGGCTTGGGCCAGGGTTCGAAGCATGTCCTTAGAAGTCACTTCCTGATTTAAACCTTTGATTCTTCTCAGTTTATTCTCTAAAGAGAGAAGAAATGGAGCTTAACAAGGAAGGTGATATGAAATGAAACTAAATTTTAATTGCAAATGCCAACTTCAAAAATTCTCTGACTGATGAGTACATCCACACTCTCTACAAAAAACAACAACAACAAAACCCTAATTTTTTAAGGAGGGCAGCTAAAGAGAAATGTACAATTTTCCGTTTCCTGCACAATGTTTTCACTCTACATTGCAACAAATAAATGTTTAACCCCAGAAAAGGGAAAAGCCATATGTTCTCATAATAAATTGATGGCATGTTTTCTTTGAAGTCACAGAAGCCCAGCAGGTATCTCTCTAAGGAATGCTTGTTTTCCCTGGCTTGACATGTGTATACTATCATCTTTTTTTAACTCCTTGAAAATAGTCTCTCTGAGGAGTAAATGGTTTTTCTTTTTGTTACAGTGACATAAAGTAGTTGCCAAACCTCATGAGAAAGACTTAGAGAAAATGATGAGAGATCCAATGGTTCATTAGACATTAAAATTGACTTGATAAGAACTCAATAAGAGACTTGTAAGATTTCTATGTGTGATTAAATTCTTGATTAAAGAGAAGGAATCTCCCAACATTTTTTAAAGTTGCTCAACTTCGGGCCTGGATGTTGGAGCCGAATAAAAACAAACATCTTGTAATCTCTTTGAGAGTGGTCCATATGGCTTCCTGATGATAGATGTTTAATTACTCTTATTTGCATTTTAAGTGTAACTGTTGAGAACAGATATCCCCTTCTGTAGAATACAAGAGAGGGTATCACCATGTACCTTCTGCCTTTGTTTAGTCTTGCCTTAAACTATAATAAGTGGGTAAATGATAGCTTTTGGGGATGGTGAACATCAAGCCCAGAACCAATGGAAACTTTATGATTTACAATCCTGTTTTCATTTTTAAACTAGAGGCCCGATGCACGAAAATTTGTGCAAGAATAGGCCTTCCTTCCCCCGGCTGCTGGCACCGGATGGCACCGGATTCCCTCCGGCACCTGGGACCCAGGCTTCCCTCCTCCAGCCGCAGGCAGGCACCCGGGACCTGGGCTGGCTTCCCTCTGGCCCTGACTTCGTCAGGAAGGACGTCCAGAATAGTGTCTGGAAGGACGTCCAGTCTAATTAGCATATTACCCTTTTATTATTATAGATAAGCCATATCAGCTGGTATCCACTGATCAAAACAATAAGTACTGCCCTAACCGGTTTGGCTCAGTGGGTAGAGCATTGGCCTGCGGACTGAAGGGTCACAGGTTCGATTCTGGCCAAGGGCATGTACCTTGGTTGCAGGCACATCCCCAGTAGGAGGTGTGCAAGAGGCAGCTGATTGATGTTTCTCTCTCATCAATGTTTCTAACTCTCTATCCCCTCTCCCTTCCTCTCTGTAAAAAATCAATAAAATATATATATTTTTAAAAAAACAACAATAAGTACCTTCTGTTGATGCAAGTTACCTCCAAGCGCTCACCCATGTAGAACACCTGTAAAATATTTGAGGAATTTTTTTTCTCCTTGAGGATATGAAAAGAATTGTGTATATCTCATGTTGAACTGACTAAGGTTTTAATTGGTGATCTTAGTAAATTATCTTTTTTTTAAATATATATATATTTTATTGATTTTTTTACAGAGAGGAAGGGAGAGAGATAGAGAGTTAGAAACATCGATGAGAGAGAAACATCAATCAGCTGCCTCCTGCACATCTCCCACTGGGGATGTGCCCGCAACCCAGGTACATGCCCTTGACCGGAATCGAACCTGGGACCCTTCGGTCCGCAGGCCGACGCTCTATCCACTGAGCCAAACCAGTTTCAGCGTGAATTATCTTTGATATAGTTTATTTGGCAATAAAAACAATCTTTATATTGTCTGGCCTTGGCTGTCAAGGTAGAAGGTGCTCTTTTGGGCTGGAAAAGGTCTTCCCCTCTCTGAGTGTGCTGAGTCCATGATCAGGTGTGACCTAAGTTGGGCAGGCAGAAGCAGGTGCCATTACATACTCCAAACCTGCCTGCCATTGTCTCCCAAACTCTGCCATAGGAGCCAGAAATGGTTCTTATTTTCCTCAGAAAAGGAAATTTTAATCATCATCAACTTATCTGATTTTAGAAAATATCAAGGGAATTTTAACTTTCTGAACCAATCAAAATTATCACTGAATCCATGAAAGCTTCTTTTGCCATAAAATATGGATATTTTATTCCAGCTCTGGGAAATAAAAAACACATCCTTCCATACACCATTCTAATTTAGCTGACATTAATTACAAAAAACTAAAGCACATATACCTGTGTATATGTATAAGTTTTTATATATACACATACATGTTTCTTCAAATTTTAGTCTCATAAATGTTCACATATTCACTCTATTTTTTGTTGTTTTTATAAACACCCTTGAAAGTCATCAAATGCATCCTAATACTACTGCCTCTTCACCAATCACTTAATAGTATTTGAATTGTATTTGCTGTGTGTGTTATAAACACTTATGTGATTGGCCAAACTATCCATTAGAAGATCTAAAGGATAAACTTGCTTTAAGTTGTACTCTATGTGTCACAGTTACTTATTACATGATCTTTTTTGTCATTATTTGGAACTTCACACATCTGTAGTTCTCTATTAGACTAGTTCAGCTTCTACTGCTGTACATATCTACACCTTCTAGAGGGGACTGCTTGTGATCCATGTTAGGTATAAACTGTGTGGCACCTGAGGTGAATTCTGATTTGGTCTTCATTTCAGAGCCGAGTTCTGATGGCAAAGAAACGGAATGTTTCAAGTTGTGAGTTGTTTTTGCGGGTATTTCTATTTCAGTAGAGCTTCCTAGCTTTGTTTTTTCTTTAGGTATAGGAAGTGATTCTTTTTTGGTGTTTTTGTTTGTTTGTTTTCCATAATGACTTACCTGCGTCACAAATTTTCTGGCTTGTACCATATGTCTTTTTTCTAGTTACCTTTGCAATTGTTACGGACTGAACAGTTGCTCCTAAAGTGGCCCGTCCCAGTGGAGAACCAATTTTCTTAAATTTTCTTAAATCTAGAACCTTTTCTTGCTGAAACCAAGCCTGCCAATCCTGAAACTAATTAGTCCAGTTTTCAGAAGAAAATTCCATTGTGGTTTCTTCAAGATAAACATATGCCTCTTTTCCAAATTGTACTGTATCCATTATCCCATTTTCCACAAGGACATACACACCCTTGCACCAGCCAATATAAGGACCAGCTGCAGTGTGGATGGAGCCAAAGCCCACTTGTAAATTATCAAGCTGCTCTTCAACATATTTAAACTGGAGAGGTGGTTTCACTAACTCCTTTTTGGATTCCTCTTCTCTGGCTGCATGCACACATATAAATGCAAACATCAGACTTGCAGGTATAGTTCTCAGCTTTCCCATCCTAACAGCCACCATGTCTGTAACCCATGAAAGTTTCTTATAACCCTTGGGCACAGAGCACCAACAAGCCAAAGGATCTGGTTTTTTAGTTTTCTCAGAATGTTGCTTCTTCTCCTTATCATCATTAAACAGATGTTCTGACTACCACAAAACAGAACTGCCAACCTCCTCAGCCATGGTCATAGCCTATCTTTGGTGGCTTCCTGAGAATCTCACATTACACCCTCATCTTTCTCATTATCCATCATTCCACCTGTTTTTCTCATATCTTTTCCTCCAGTACACAGTTATCAAAATTCCTTTTGTTTTTCCAAGATATTTCTCAGCAATTATGTAAACTCTACTCTGACTCTTCTTTCTATCCTTTCTTAAAAGCTTCTTCTTCCTGAATTGCCTTTCCTTCCTTAAACAATTATTCCTAGGTTTGGTTTTGTGACACGTAGATGGGTCTCATAAATGTTTAATAATAAGAATATACGCCGAAACCGGTTTGGCTCAGTGGATAGAGCGTCGGCCTGCGGACTGAAAGGTCCCAGGTTCGATTCCGGTCAAGGGCATGTACCTGGGTTGTGGGCACATCCCCAGTAGGAGATGTGCAGGAGGCAGCTGATCGATGTTTTCTCTCTCATCGATGTTTCTAACTCTCTGTCTCTCTCCCTTCCTCTCTGTAAAAAATCAATAAAATATATTAAAAAAAAAAAAAAGAATATACTACAATTTTAAAGCATCCCCTAGCCCAGAACAATCTGAATCTCTTTCTTGTATATTTAGTATATTTCTAAATACTTGTATATTTCGTGTATATTTCTAAATACTTACACTTAAGGCCATAAGACAGGACTATGAAGATGTGTTCAGGAAATATTAAAAAAATAAAATAGCTAACAAGAGGCAGAATGAATTTTATGTCAATATGCTCCCATTCCAACAATCAATCTATCTACTATAACAGTTTTTCAAACTGTAGCATCATAAATCCACATGTAGCTCTAGGCCATGACCTTTTCTTTTAGGATAGCATAAGATTTGATATTTTTGAGTTATTTGAATATATGAGCCACCAATAGTAGGCAAGAAATAAAGCAGAATTTTTTTAAATATATTTTTTTTATTGATTTCAGAGATGAAGGAAGAGGGAGAAAGAGAAACATGGATGATGAGAGATCAATAGGCTGCCTCCTGCATGCCCCCTACTGGGGATCAAGCCTGCAACCGGGTATGTGCCCTTAATTGGAATTGAATCTGGGACCCTTCAGTCCCCAGGCCGACGTTCTATCCACTGAGCCAAACCAGCTAGGGCATAAAGCAGAATTTAGATATAACAGAGGTAAGAGATTGCAAAGATCATTTTAATCCCTATGTACAAGGAAAATGGGGTCCTTCCCACAACCAACCTGAAACAACCCCTATACTTACTTACACCTGACAGATACATGTGTTGAGGACAAAAAAATTTTTTTTAAGAACAGAAAACCGAGCCAGCAACTGAGGTAGAAATAAACCTTAGACCAGTGGTCTCAACCTTCCTAATGCTGCGACCCTTTAATACAGTTCCTGATGTTGTGGTGATCCCCAATTTCATTGTTACAAATTGAACATAATTAAAGCATAGTGATTAATCACAAAAACAGTACGTAATTATATGTGTTTTCCGATGGGTCTTAGGCCACCCCTGTGAAAGGGTTGTTCGACCCCCCCGAAAGGGGTCGTGACCCACAGGTTGAGAACCGCTACCTTAGACCTTTCCATCCGCAGGTCCAGGCTCTATCCACTGAGCCAAATCAGCTAGGGTTGAGCATGTCTTTTTAAAAAGAAAGAAAGAAAAAGGAAAGATTCTAAAATTAGATAGTGGTAACTGTTAGATTGTACAACTCTGAATATAATAAAAACCACTGAATTGTACCTTTAAAAAAAAAAAGAAGAGAAAACCATACTGGCTGATGTGGTTCAATGGTTAGACTGTCCGCCTGTGTACTGAAGGGTTTCGACTGGATTCCCAGTCAAGGGCATATACCAGGGTTGCAGGTTGGAGCCCCAGGCCCAGTTGGAGCCTGTGTGGGAGGCAACCAATTGATGTGTCTCTCACATCAATGTTTCTCTCCTGATCTCTCCCTCCATTCCAATCTCTCTAAAAATCAATGGAAAAAATATCCTTGGGTGAGAATTTAAAAAAAGAACAGAAAACCAGGTTTAATGTAAAGGAACTTCAACAAGCATCTTTAAAACCATCAGTTTATGATTTTTTTTAAAAAGCCATCTAACTTACCTAAAGATGCTAAATACACTTCTGAATCCTGCAAGGGAGCCCAAGGCTTTATAGCTGGCTCAGTAGCAAAGTCCGGGGCCTCTCTCTGGCCTGTGTTTGCAGGATAAGAATCCATAAAGGAGTCTGAGAAGGCATTTTTGGCACCATCGTCTTGGTCAGGATTTGGCAAACAGGAACAGATTTCAGCCCAAAGATCCGGGCCAGATTTTGTAGCTGTAGAGTCAATGCTTTCAAACATTTTCATTTGGAATTTGAGCTGAAAAAACAGAAGCTCAAGTGAGCAAGGACTGGCGTTAAGGATACAGTATAAGTATGTAGTATTCAGATATATGTTTACCCATTGAAGGTAATAGGCTTTTAAGAACTTTAACAAAACTTAAAATGTCTTCTATTAGGTTTCTGTGTTAGAGATAAAAAGATGACAAAAAGGTAATTGGGTTCTTTTGGCTCTGCACTCAAGTTGTTTTCACAATGAAGTTTGTCTTCAAAACTGGAATTTCTACGCCCTTCCCGTGGTTGGCAAACTGCGGCTCGCGAGCCACATGCGGCTCTTTGGCCCCTTGAATGTGGCTCTTCCTAAGCCTTAGGAGTACCCTAATTAAGTTAATAACAATGTACCTACCTATATAGTTTAAGTTTAAAAAATTTGGCTCTCAAAATAAATTTCAATCGTTGTACTGTTGATATTTGGCTCTGTTGACTAATGAGTTTGCTGACCACTGCCCTAACTGGATAAATGTCAGCCTGCGGACTGACGGGTCCCAGGTTCAATTCCAGTCAAGGGCATGTATCTTGGTTGTGGGCACATCCCCAGTGGTGGGTGTGCAGGAGGCAGCTGATTGATGTTGCTCTCTCTTCGATGTTTCTAACTCTCTATCTCTCTCCCTTCCTCTCTGTAAAAAAATCAATAAAATATATTTTAAAAATGGAATTTCTACAAGCCAGATACAAAAGAATAAATATTGGATGATGCCACTTATGTAAGGTGCCTAGTGCAGTCAAATTCATAGAGACAGAAAACTGAACAGTGGTTGCCAGGGGTTTTTGGAATGGGGGAATGGAAGTTATTGTTTAATGGGTACAGAGTTCCAGTTTGGGAAGTTCTAGAGATGGGTGATGGTGATAGTTGCATAAAAATGTGAATGCCACTGAACTATATATCTAGAAATGGTTAAAATGGCAAATTTTACTTTTGTATGTTTTAAAACACACACACACACGCACACACACCACAGGTGCGTGCACATTTCATGACATTTCCAGTGAAGACAATCAGCTTGCACTTTTCTCCAAAAAGCTCCCAGATTCAACAATTCTGTCCTCAGCTAATTAAATTCTGTTTTCAATAAGGCAATAAAGGTCTTGCACAGTTCCATATGCACAAGGATAATAAAAGTGCTGCTTGGTGAAAAGTGTCTCTCAGAGAGCACTGTCATATGCAAAGGCCCATTTGCTCATTAGAGGCAGAAGTTGGGCTTGTGTTCTTATTTCAGTAGAAACACTAATAGTCATTTTCATCATTGTGCAGATGAAGAATCTGTAGGATCTGAGGATCAGAAGGGTAATTACTGATATATGGTGAATCCTGGATTGGAAACCAGACCGGTGCCGCTCCAAAATCCGTATTTTTACCAGATATCATTCTGCCTGATTGGGAATAGTATACTGAAAGTGGCCCTAGCAGAGGTAGGTCCTGGAGGCTTTCATAACTATCTAGTCTTACAGGATGGGCCTTTGAGACTAGGAAGGCTGCCAACAGAAAGGTTTGACTAATTCCAATTCTAGGAGAGCCCAACCAGCGCAAGGGCTCAGAAGTAAACGGGACAGGTACGTCAAGGCAGCCCTGAATGAACTAATGCCAGGGGGCGCAATGAACCCCCACCCCCAGGGGTTCTCAACCTTCTGGCCCTTTAAATACAGTTCCTCATGTTGTGACCCAACCATAAAATTATTTTCGTTGCTACTTCATAACTGTAATGTTGCTACTGTTATGAATCGTAATGTAAATGTCTGATATGCAGGATGGTCTTAGGCGACCCCTGTGAAAGGGTCGTTCGACCGCCAAAGGGGTCGCAACCCACAGGTTGAGAACCGCTGGCAAACGCACCCACACCAAACATTGCCTCACCCCGGAGCCCGGTCCCCCTCCCCTCCTAGGAAGTCCCGGACAGCGCAGGGAACTTGGGTGTCCAGACGGGCCTCCGTCACTCCGGCCTCCAGGACGGGCTGGGCGGGATGAGTCAGGCTCCGAGGCCTCCGGGCGGCGTTCCAGGATGGGCCCGGCACCGCGGATACAAATGCTGGGCCCCCCGCCCCTCCTCACCTACCGCAACTGCCTGCCGGGCAGCCCGCAAACCCTCCGCTCCGCTCCGTCTCCGGCAGCCGGAAGAAACGGTGGGCGGAGTCTCCGAGTGACGGATCCAGGAAACCCTCCAACCACCGCCGACCTGGCGATGTTCTGTGCGTGGATAGGTCGCGTGGATAAGGAAGTGAGGAGCTGAGTGCAAGGAAGCGGGGGGGGGGGGGGGGGGGGAGGGGGGGGGCGGAGCCCGTTGTTGCCGGGAAACGGCGGAGCCGCGTACCCCGGCCCCGGCTTTCCCCGGACTTGATTGATTCCGCCTTTTCCTGGTGTTCCAGCCGCGCGGGCGGCGTCCTCCCCCATCCCCTGCTCGGACGAGGAAGCCCGGTTTTCCAGGCATTTGACTTGGCGTGGTTCCCCGAGCAAGTTCACCTCTTCAGCAATTGCCTGGGCCGGTGTTCCTCTCCAAAATTTTCAGCCCTTCGCTACCCAAGTTAGAGCACTTTGGGGCTTTAAAGGGGTAGGAGACTTCGTCCCTTACAGGAGACCCTTGTCCCATTCATGTGATGAAGCTTTCCCTCATTCATTTAGTCAATAGCCGAATTCCTGCTGTGTTCTAAGCACTGTCTAAAGCGGGAATTCAAGGCAGATAGACTCGGTATGGGTCCCGGAGGTCTTCACAGCTTAGTGTAAGAGGGTGCGTCATGGGGCAGACAACTTTACAAATAACAGCAAATAGTTATAGAGGATAGAACAGAAGTGTAGCCAGAGTACATAAAGGAGAGAATGGTCTTGGGAGGTGTGTGTCAGAAACTCTTTTTAAAAGGAAGTGATCTTTGGTATCTGAGGGATTATCAGTAGGCTGAGCTGCAACTCTTCCTCGCCCCTAAAACCCCAATTTCCAGAGCTGGTTACTCCTGAAAGAACGTGCGGAAAGACATTAGCCAACCATCAGTAGAAGTAACTTGGCTTATGATAGAGTGTCTAGATGTGTCCAAAGTAAATTAATGTGGCTATGGTGTTAATAACTACCAATATGTGAAAGGAAACTACAAGGTCCTCCATTGCTCGCATTTATAACCATTCTTAGAATGTGCAAAGAGAAGGAAGTGGAAAGCAAGGAGGTTACAAAAAAAGGAACTTAGAGCAGGCAAGATTTTGACAGCTTATCTACAGGGAATGAATGGGGGAGTGGAATCTCCCACAGAAGGATCCTGAGGCCTCCAACTACCATCCTATGTAACAGGAGTCTGGCAGCATCTGACTCACAGAATCAGATGTCTCATAGGCTTATGGATGCTTCATCAAACCACTCCATGGCCAGTATGGACATTTTAATTATGTTAATTCTACCAATAGATGAACATGGCCTATTCTTCCACTTGTTTATATCTTCCTTCTATCTCTTTTTTCAGAGTTCTGTAATTTTCCCGAGTACTGGTCTTTTACCTCCTTGGTTAAGTTTATTCCTAACTATCTTACTTTTTTTTGTTACAATGGTAAATGGGATTGTTTTTTTAAAATTTTATTTCTGAGAGTTCATTATTGGTGAATAAAAATACCATTGATATCTGAGTGTTAATTTTGTATCCTGCTACACTGTTGAATTCATTTACTAAATCTAGTTTTTTGGTGGAATCTTTAGGACTCTCTATGTACAGTATCATGTCATCTGTGAATAATGACTGTTTTACATCTTCCTTTCCAATTTGGATGTCTTTTATTTTTTCTTCTTGTCTGATTGCTATAGCTAGGACTTCCAATATTATGTTGAATAAAAGTGGTGAAACTCTGTCTTGTTTCTGTTCTTAGGGGAAATGGTTTTAGTTTTTGCCCATTGAGTATGATTAAAATGACCTGCTAGAATGGCCATAATATATCAACAAACAAGTGCTAGCAAGGATGTGGAGAAAAAGGAACCCTACTACATTTTTTTCAACGTTCTGCTGGTGGGAATGGAAAACAGGCAGAGTTTCCAAAAAAAATTAAAAATGGAACTGCCATTTTACCCAGTGATCCCACTTCTAGGAATATATCTAAGAAGCCTGAAATACCAATCAGAAAGAAAATACCTACCCCTATTTCATAGCACCATTATTTACAATAGCTAAGATCTGGAAACAGCCTAAGTGCCCATCAATAGATGAGTGGATAAAAAAGCTGTGGTACACTTACCCAATGGAATACTATACAGCTGTAAAAAAGAGGGATTTCAGATGGACCTGGAGAGAATTATGCTGAGTGAAATAAGCCAGTCGGAGTAAGACATATATTACAATGACCTCACTTATATGTGGAATCGAATGAATAAAACAAACTGACAAAATACACATAGATCCAGAGACATGAAAGCATGCACCAGACCGACGAATCTCAGAGGGAAAAAGGTAGGGGGAGGAAGACATTAACTGAAGAACTTACATGCATATATGCATAACTCATGGACACAGACAATAGTGGGGTGAAGGCCTGGGGAGGGGGTGGGAGTGGGGAGGAAGGGGTCAATGGGGGGGGAACAGGGGACATGTATACTTTCAGCAATAAAGATAAAGAAGAAAAAAAAACTACTCCTTGGTCTCTCGACTCACTTATGTCCTTTTTTCTGATTTCCTGCTCACCAAACTTGGCTATTTACAGTAGCTAAGATATGGAAGCAACCTAAGTGTTTACCCATAGGTGAGTGGATAACGAAGATGTGGTATATAAATACAATAACACCACACTGCCACTGCAGCTGGCGTTGCTGACTGGGAACTGGCACAAGAACCTCCCCCCCTGCGAGCCCCCGAATCAGATGCCTCCAATTCTATCTTGTCAGACACGATGCTTGCTTCCTCGGCTGTGTGCCTCGGGTGCCAAAGGCTTTGCCTGCCCGATAGAGCCCAGAGGATACACCAATGTGCAAGATGCAAGGGACGCTGGGAAGAGCTCCATTCTTTAAAGCATACAACACAATGCTTAGATATTCCCAGCATATTCGGAATTCAGCGCTCCGTTTTGTTTTAAAGTCTGTTCGTTTTCACTATGTTCCTTTCAGGAGCTTTCCATACCCAAGGAACTTTGAGTATATCTACATGAATTCAATGCTTTTGGTGAGTCAGCCTCTCAACTCGCCACGCCAGTCATTCAACTCACTTCCTCCCTTCGCTGTCCCCGCCTCGCACTGGGCCTCGCCGATTGGCTGGTGCTGAGTGACGTCTTCAGATCGCGACCCAGCAGTGGCGCCCACGTGGTTATGAGACTGGGCGGCTGCAGGTGGCTCCGGGGTCTTGTGCCGCGGAGTTTGAGCCTCCCGTGCCGCAGCCTTGCCAGGACTTGGGGTGCCGTGGAGGCCGGATGGCGGACATGCTCTCCACCGGGGCGGGGGCGGCGAGCGAGCTGAGGGCTCCGGCTCAGCTAAACGGAGACGCGGACGGCGACGCCAGGGACGAGCGACCCCCAGGGCGCCCGGAGCCGGCAGCCGCGGGAGTGGAGTTGGCCCCGGGGGTAGGGAAGCAGGTGGCGGGGAGCGAGGAACAGGCCCCGGCTGCAGCACCGGGCCCGGGCAAGCGCAAGAAGCGGCGGGGCGCGCCCGGGGAGCGCGTCGTGCCGCCCCCGAAGAAGCGGCGGGCAGGGGTGAGCTTCGGCGATGAGCACTTTGCAGAGACCAGCTACTACTTCGAGGGCGGCCTGCGCAAAGTGCGGCCCTATTACTTTGACTTCCGAACCTACTGCAAAGGCCGCTGGGTGGGCCGCAGCTTGCTGCACGTCTTCAGTACCGAGTTCCGAGCCCAGCCCTTGGCCTACTACGAGGCTGCGGTCCGAGCGGGGCGCCTGCGCCTCAACGAGGAGCCGGTCCAAGACCTCAGCATCGTGCTCAAGGTGGAGTCCTGATGGGCCGGTCGGAAGGGGACCAGGAAAGGGGCAGGGATTTTTTCCCCTGAGTTAGTGGCCATAGGTACTGGAGTAAAATCGGGGTAATTCCGAGGCTTTCTCATTTTCACTTGAAACAGTCTCAAAGCCCTCTCCTCCCACCCCATCGCCGCAAGTAGCCTCAGTGCTTCAGAAACACTGTTTTCTTGTTTCCAAAGCATAGAAGTTGGAATTCTTGTGCAGTCTGTGCCACTGGCACGGACATTGGTCACGTTCTATTTTGCATTGTGGATCTCTGTACAAATAGTACAGTGGAGGCTATCATTTATGTCTCCTTAGTGGGTACAGAGTTAGGCATTTTGAGAACTTTAATAACATTTAATTTTATCGATCGCCTTGTGGGGTAGGTATTGCCACCTCATTTTTACCTGTGAGGAAACTAAATTAAGGTAAACCTCACAGAGGTAAGGCAACAGTGCCACCTCCAAAGCCTGTGCTGTTATAACTACTTAAATTATTTATTATAGAGACTAAGATGATAGAATTGTGAACTGTCCGGGATAAAGACTAGAGCTGTCTAGCCCAGTGCTTTTGACCCTTCTTTAAAATTCCTTCACAGCTAAGAGGTACCAGACACCCCTGGCTCACCAGGTTGTGAGGGGAGACAAGGCGATCTCAACATTTGGGGAATGAGTGGCTTGAATCCTCTCTCCCATCCCAATTTTGAAAAGCAAGCGTCTGGTCTAGCTGTCACATTTTATAGATAAGGAAACTAAGGCTTAGTGAAGTTCAGTGAAATTACCTTTAGATATAACGTTATTGTAGAGAAAATACAAATAAGCAAAATAAAAAACCATCCATAATCTCACCACCTGGAGATAGTACCATTTACCTTTTTGTGCCTTATCCTTCTAGTTCTTTTTCAGTGCCTGCTGTCTGTCTGTCTGCATTTTTACAAAATGAATATGCACTGTGCATACCGCTTTTTGTGTAAGGATATACTTTGACCATTCTTTCATGTCAATAAATAAGAGAGGAAGCCGTGTGTGAGGTTGACTGATTATAGGTTGCTAGTCCCTGGGCTGAACAATTGCCTATGTCATCGGCAGGACAATGACTTCTTGCGGAACACAGTGCACAGGCATGAGCCACCAGTCACGGCAGAGCCTATCCGCCTGCTGGCTGAGAGTGAAGACATGGTGGTTGTAGACAAGCCCTCTTCCATTCCTGTCCACCCCTGTGGCCGCTTCCGGCACAACACGGTC